AATCGTGCAGTCAGTGACTGAGCTCACAAAAAGCTAACCACGATTCTGAGATGCACTTTCGATGAGGATAAATTAGTAAGGTTGGATGTTTTTATTGATAACCTTGCCACATAATGCAAAAGATTTCTGACACGTCTATTTCGACGCGTGTCAGACAACTAGACGGACTCGTAGCTAAAGCTGTAGGATCTCGTGGGCAGCGCGTGGGCAGCCAGATTGTTTTGCCTAACAGACCACGTCGTCAGTTTTCTTATAAAAAATGCACTTTTACCAGTGGCTTGTAAGTTAAGCACGATTTCCTAAAGATACCTCTAGAGAAAATGAATTTTGGTGTCCACTGAGGAAATGCAACGAGTAAATTTTTTACAACCACGCACAATGACCTTCCATATAACAGGCATAACTACGTATAAGAGCACCTGTGTTGGAGGTGAAAATAATCAGGACACGTTTTGCTACACCTCGAAAGAATGGAATCCCTGGGAAAGGTGATATTGCGGCGTCACAATAAAGGATTCGAGTTCACGAATCCTGAATCAGAAAAAATTTAAATACTAAAAGCAACGTGAATCAGATGGCCCAAAACAAGTAGGACCGAGAGCGTGGCAAGATAAAGTTGATAAGTCGGAATGGGTGGCTGGTTGAAACATAAAAGTATTAGTGGAAAACTATCAAAACACGACTAGCGAGGGGCTTACATACCTGTGGATTCTGACCGGTCGTTAGCGATATTTTCTGGACGGGGGATGGTGAAGAAATCACGATTTCACAAAAGTGCGAGAACTTTTCTAACTACTAACGGCAGTAATAGAAATTTGGGAGTTTACTTGCATGGATGACCTTATATAAGGATCCTCGACGAATACTTTAGTGACGTTACCATATTGTAGAAACCGTCCGAACAGTCGTTTATAGCCAAAACCCGTATCACCTTCAGAAATGCGGATCTGTTCATGATATGTTCCAACTGTTGGTAAAAAAAGACTGTAAAAATCGGCGAACCTGCAGTTTGCTTTTTGATAAGTTCTTTTAATCCCTCAGCCCGGGTCATATATGACTCGATTTTGGCCTTCAGATTGCACTTTAAATCTTTGTCTGCAAAAGGGTTAGTGGTGAAAGGTGTCAAACCTGTACAGAGACGCAAACCCTTGATAAGTAATGCAATCCCCTCCTCGTAGCATACCAATGATTCGGTCAACTTGCTTTTCTCCTCGAACTCGAGTGCCCGAGTAATCAGACCGGCGCCAATGGAAATCAGCTGATTATCTGACATGGCATTTAGAAGAGCCTAACTCTCCGGGGACTTCGTTTGTCCTTCTGTGGTGTTCTTCTGAGTATTCGATATCTGGTCAACTCCTGTAGACCTCTCAGTTACTCCTGCTCCTAAAAGTGGGTTCATGATTTATTGACTCGCTCCTGACAAGAAAATTCACGCGGTAGGGATAAAGATTAATTTGTGAACGCATAGAAGTTTATTATCAAAATTCAAAATGAGATGCGGGAATAAAAAGATAACAAAAATCTCGCTTCGCAGTTTGCTCTTCAAGCTTCCGTGGTGTTGACACTTTGTGCCTTTCCACACGATCAGACACGGCCGCTTTAAAGAAACGGAAAATACAACGGCAAACTAAAAAAGTACTGC